AAAAGAAGCTAAAACGTAAAGATTAAAATCGTAAATAAGAAAAAGAAAAAACTATCTGATATGTAAGCAGACTATCATTTACTATCACTATTAGTTGGCAGAGAGCACTGCAAAGAAGGGGAAACACTGTGCTGTATTGTATAATGGTCATTTAATACTACTTTATACAAGTGCTGGGTTGAATTACCTTATCCTGAAGTAACAAAATATGTTGTCTTAAAAAATCGTTACCCTATCCTAAAGTTACGAAATATGTTGTCTTAAAAAAATCGTTACCCTATCCTAAAGTTACGAAATATGTTGTCTTAAAAAAATCGTTACCCTATCCTAAAGTTACAAAATGAGTTGTCTTGACAAAAATCGTTACCCTATCCTAAAGTTACAAAATGAGTTGTCTATGGCAAAAGTTGACAACCTTTACGCATGAGCATGACATTTTGGGTGAGTAAATAAGTGTATTTTTATTAGCTATAAAAACAGAGAAGTTTAAGAAAAAGTTGTTAGAAGTACAATAATATTGTCGCAACCCAATGAGTGTCAGATGTTTATGCGTCATAAATATTCTAGCTGCATTTGGCACAAGGCTGTGTAAAGTAGGTCCAATAACACATTAAATAGCAAGGCTGGCTCCGGCTTTGGGTGCGCACATTATTGTTTACTTTTCTAGGCTACAGGCCTGAGGTCTAACAATGGCACAAGGGACTGTACTCCCCTTCACTTGCCGTCTACGACTAGGTAACCAGGTCCTCTATTGTTCTATTCTGTTACAGTGACTGACAGGCTGTCTAGCTGGACTATTCACGAAACTTAAGAAGGCGGTGTTGGTTTTAGAACAGACGGCAGCCAACAAAATCATTTTTTTTTCTTTGCTATAAAATGTTTACTAAAATGTGTGAAATTGTGTTTGGGGAATGCATCTTTAATGTTCGATCACAAAACTAGTAAAATCAAATTCAAATCGTACGCTGGCACGAGCCTATGTAATTTCATAACTGACTTTTATTTTGCCTCCCATTTAGTTAATTCTTTACTTTACACAACAATATCACCAATTCTAACAAATTACAGCAGTTTTATACTTGTAGGCACTACCTTTCTATACAACGTAATCAAACTGATGTTTTTGTTTTTTTTTCAACATCGTTTCATTCATTACCTCAGAACTAGTTTGTTACATATTCGTGTGACCTAATTATACATCTACATAAGTAGGTACACAGTACAGACTAATGCATACGCTACACACTTGCTCGAGTCGCGAGTTTCTAATTGCAATGAGTTTGTGACACGGGAGAAAAAAATTCTTATTAATTAAATAACTTTTTGCCCTCAGTAAAACAGTTTGTGTTGTGCACCTTTATAAAACTAAGCATGCTAGCACTTTTTATTTATCACACGTTTTTCGCGTGTTGTTGATTCCTTGTTAAATGTACCAAGGGGAGGCAACTCCTTTCTATAAATAAACGTAATGGCAATAAATGTCGCCTCCCCTTCAAGCACTTACTTCCTGTTGAAGTAACTGTTAAAAAATAGGGGGCCTAACTGTTGGTAGATGTGTTTTTAAAAAAACACTGTACGGACAATCATTAATGAATGAATCATAGTCTGGACGAATCACAAGCAGAACATACAACTTATACCCAATATGGACTAATCACAATATACTTTATACTACTATTTACAAAGTGTAACGTTTAGGCCTATAATCATTTTAGAATGATCATCAGTTTTAGTTTACTGGCTTATTTTTAAAGGATGGGAAGTCTCGTCATAAGTCACTGTCCTAATGTTCGCCTCATTATCTAAATAATACGTTACTATTGTTTACATTGTATACTGCTTAGTAACCTGGGATAGCAAAATAACTTGATTCATCATTTGGAAACAAACACAAAGAAGTGGACTTACTCTGTAGATTCTGAATGGTCATCTGTATGCCCTGACCAGTAGATCCTCTAACAGGAGCTGGTGAAGGCTGACCTGTTCCAGCAGGGTCCTCGCCATTTGTGTAAGAAAATCTGTCGGTCATGGTTGGTGTCTTGTAGGGTTACTGTCTTGTAAGTGTCCTCACTTGAGCTGTGTCTGCATTGTTTGTTTGTGTGCTGTTGTTTTTACACCTCTTTTCTTCTTGCTTCCATTATGTCTGAATCAGGGGAAAACGTGGTATAAACATTACAACATTGTTAAATAGACTAACCAATTATCTATAAAACTATGAGTGTGAACAATAATAATACACCTGCGATAGCCTTACTTTTTAATAGCTATAAACGAGCTATAATCAGCATACACCAACTATAATCTAAAAGCTATCAGCATACACCAGCTATAATATGAACGCTAGCGACAGACACCAGCTACAATATGAAAGCTAGCGACAGACACCAGCTATAACCTGAACGCTAGCAGCTGAACACCAGTTACAGCATGAAAGCTAGCAACTATACACCAGCTTTAGCTTTGACGTGAAAGCTAGCAGGATACATCAGCTATACCTGAAAGCTAACAGCTGTACACCAGCTTTAACCTGAATAACACAGCGGCTTTAACTCCAGATGTAGAAGAAATCAAATGATACTGAATGAAGCTTTAAAGTTGACACAACTCACTTTTCACTAGACGCTAATGACACGGTGGTTTAAAAATCTCGACGCTCATGTTGCAACACGTCTCTACCTAATGTTGCATTCCTCAGATAATTATCGATCTTGTCGGCTAAGAAAAATTTATCGACAAGGAATTGGGGGCAAGAAATCAATGAAGGGGACACTTGAAAATTATAGGGGAGAGAGGAAAAAAAACTTGCCCGACCAATGGTGACAGGAGAAGTAAAATCGATATCAGTACTCTAAAGTATGTAAACAAAGATTATTGCAAAACACTTTTTTATTATTCATTCTTTTGAACAAAAACAATCCATTTAGGCTTGATTTTTTAAAAAAGGTTTTGTTATGTATTATTCAAGTTATTTATTAACTATATGGAATATATTCAAAAGTAGGCCTATAGACTAAGAGAAAGTTCACTCTTATTTGATAGATCTGGTCATTTTTTTTTTTTTTTTTTTTTTGTTGAGACTTGCAACACGAACACTTGAAAAGTTTAGTATAACTTATTCTACTAATTACTTAAACATTTAGATCTAGTCAACTAACTTCGGCTGGATTTTTAAAATCTTTTTTTTTTGTTTGCTTTTAAAACAAATAATTAAAAAAAACAACTAAACTTTATATATGACTAACTTTTGTTTATAAAACAAACTTTATGAGACTTACCAAAATCGCAGTAGCAATTGGTTGCCTCAGACGCCAAGAAAAAAATCGATAGCTACACGACATGCGCAGCCAACTCGTGCTAAAAATATCGCCATCTAGCGGGCCAGAGGTCAAGTGGGGGGTCTCCTAAGGGTTTGGTGGACAGCGGTTCATAAACGATAGAATTACTGGCTCTATACTCTATTCAACTCTACTCCCAATTAAATCTAGAGTGCGAGGGCTTCCTTTACTACGGGAAGGCTACGAAAATCTTGGTGCTTTTCCCCCAATACGAATAATTAATTTAATCTCTTAAGAATAATTAAAAACGAAGGTAGCCTAGTTTAATGGTAAGCCTAACAGCCTTACTTGTGCTTGGATCTTCCACAAATAGAAACTCCTAGGAGGAGGGTCTGTAGCCTACTTTGGTTGACCATGTGTGGGACAGGGGGCATTCAGCAAGTGTGAGGTCGCACTGACATTTAAAAAAAATTAAACTGAATTTTTAGCAGTTACTAGACGACCCAGTTTCCTGTTGGAAAACGGTCTGTCGACTGCACAACACAAACCATTACTCCCATTACGCCCACCCCAAATAAATCTCTGCTATCAGTCCTGAACTCCTACCCACTTCCTTTGGGGGAACACACGTATGAAATCCATGGGGAGGGGGAATAAGGAAGTAGAGTTTTGTGGACGCTTGCGGGTAGAGGGGTAGGCAGAGTTTCTTCCAGGTATCTCTTCAGGGGGGGGGGGGGTATGAAAGAGCCCCCCCCCCCCCCCCCAAACAAAATGGAATTTATATATAAAATGTTTACTTTCAAGTGTATGCCACCTGGAAATTTGAGTCCGCCCCCTCTTCCCCCCCCCCCCCTGAGAAAAAAGTCTGGAAGAAACACTGTGGGTAGGTAACTTTCTCACAACAAATATAACATTCGCATCATGCAAATCTACTGTATTAAAAGTTTAAAGTATTGATTTTTTTAAAAATAAAAAATGTTTTAATGACAAGCTATTAGATCTAGATAATTATGCACTAAAATATGAAAACAAATGATTTTCTTTAAATATAATAATTCATTTTTTTTATTTTTAAAATTAAAAAAAAACTTTTTTTTATACTGACAAACGAAATTATTTCTTAATGGACAGTGCCCCTGATCAGTAATTAAATATATAATGATGTACAAGCATTAGTTTCTTCATATTCTCGAATTGAAAGATCTGTCAAACGGTTACTATCAAAGATTGATAATATTTCTGGAACCTTAAACCTAATAGTAATAACATATGAATAAATCATTAAAATTAACGTCGAAATAATTGCATCCCATGGCTTGCTTTGGGATTTCCCACTGTGGACCATCTATGTGTGAAGATTTAAAAAAAAAATATTATGATTTCATGTTTTTGTACCTGCAAACTGACAGGCTAGTACAGTATTGTCTCGGCCATGATATGTCATTTTGGTGAAAATGTATCTTATTATTTTAATGTGTATGGATTTTCATGGGAGGCCACTCTTCACCGTAAAGCAAAATTATTCTAGATACTATTCTAAATTCAATTATAACATAATTTAACCAAGAATCTATTCCATTGCTAAGAAACAAAGATTGATAATGATATGAAAGATTTAAGACCTGAAATAGTTAAAAATATTCAGTTATTCTTTGTGTTTAATAAGTCATAAGGTAACTTTACTCTTAATAATGTCATATGTTAATAAAATGACACTCAGAAATGTAAGTTTCTATTAGACTTTATTTAACCAACAGACCTGAGGAAATTTGGCACATAGCTGCCATCTCCCCAAGTGACTACATAAACATGTTTAAATTGAGGTCACTTTGATATTGTCCTAGTTTACAATGACCTGTGTATAATCTTGAAGTTAACACAAATATTGCACTGAAAATAGTGTACATATTGTTCACTTTCTTTTACATGAGTATACAATAAAAAATAAAAGTTAAAAATATAAAATATTCACATACTCATGTCTTCTTAACGAGGTCTGCTCATATTTACTATAAGCAACTGGTAGTTTTAAAAGAGTATTTCAGTATTTTGCAGAGTTTATAATTGTGTAAAATATGCTTTGTAATTTTTATGTATTAGAGTTAATTAGAGTTTGAGAAATGGTGGATGTTATTAACCAATATCTGAAGATAAAGATGAGCACTCAAGTTTGAGCAGGCATATTTAGAAAGAGCATTGGATTATTTGAGCAGACCTCACTAACATGTAGTTAATCAATGGGAACAATTTGATTGATCTAGCATCTAATCCACTCCATTGGTACAGATTGTTATAATGAGCTCTGTAAATTACATTATAATGCCAAGCTCAGTGACAGCTCATATTGTCACATCACTACTCCACTCAGTTCAGCCGCTTATTGTATTTTTAAATTAGCATCCAACAAAATCTTGTTTAAACAAATCATAAAGCGACCTTCTGACAGACACCAGGTTAAAAAAAATAATGACTGAACACTTCAGTTACTTCATGAACTCATCAAATGATAAACATATCAGAGTTCTGGGTGAATATGTGTTGTTCAAAAGTGGCCTATAGTACATCCCATTCATGTTTACAATAGAACAAATCCATGGCTGATGTGAATACAATAAGTATGTGATAGAAACAAATGAAACAGTTGTGTTGCTGCAGTGAAATCACTTAAAGACTTTACACATTCAGCTTTTTGCAAGGTAATATCAATATTACAATTCACATTAGAGAACACAACATCACACATAAGGCTTTTTTCTTTTTGTGCCTACCACAAAGTACTAAATCTTGGTTAATGTTTGTATGCCCGTTAGAGCAAATTACAAAAATATAAAACTTGATCTGGCATTGACAAACATATTTGATTTCAACAGGTTAAATATCAAGCATGGTTTTATTCATATGTTTTGTTGTTGTATTTATGTAGGAACACAATAGTTAGGGTGTCAAAGTACATTTTATCTGCAAACATTTGCATTTTAAAGAAAATTATGTCCGTGACCTCACAAAAATGTACAAGATGTATACAAAAAAAAAAGACTCCAGGTCTTCAAAAGCACCAAAGTATGTTAAAGTTAAAGTGATATAAATAACTTACAAAATATTTGACTGAAAGTACTGAAACCATATGTTTGCTATGTCACATATGGCTATTGTGCCCCTGGAACTCCCATTACACAGCAATAAGAGACTATAATTTCCCTGAGACCTGGCTGTTGATACCCAACCCACTATGACCTTTTTGTCACTAATGTCAGATCTCCTGTAGTACAGATATAAAAATTTTCTTTTAGATGATGTCCTATGAATGATCCAAAGGTTTACAGCCATCTAAGTGAACAGAACTTTCAGAGCAGTGGAGGGGCAGCAGCCAACAGATTTCTGTGAGTAGTTACCAGGATCTTGATAAAATAAATAAATAAATACTGACAACTTGTATAAGAGTTTGTTCTTTTACTTTGGACTGTCTTGAAATAAAGCTGTGTAGAATTCAGCTGGTGTCATAGTGCACTTGTACTTGCTAACCATCTCTTGTATCTTCAGCTTCCTCCTGACATGAGGAGGTTGATAGCTGGACAAATAGTGGAAAGGGGTTATAATAAACAACAGAGGTTCAAGTCTCTATGTAATGTTAATTATTTAGTGGATTTATAGAAATATGTTCTATTGAACTTACGATTCACTCTCTAATCGTCGTCTTCTGCAAATATTAATAGCAGTCTGTCTCACCATGGAGCCCAGTGTCCTTCGACTAACCACCATGCCATCAACTAGTGGAATTGCTATTGACATTCTGGTTAAAAATATAAGAGGAGCTAGTTTTACTACCATGTATAGGAAAATTAACAAGACATGAAGTATTAAGTATGTAAATGGACCTACTTGGTCTGTGTCTTCTCATATTCCATCATATGGATTCTAAACAAGCCATTCTGTAAGGCATGAATAAAGATGACATAGACATCTTTTTCAGCTGGTCTCAGTACAGTTGTAGCACTGGTACTAGTGCCCTGCTCTTGCCCAGTACTTGTTACAATCAGAAGCTCAGCTAAACAGAAGAGATATACATTTTACAGTTTGTTTAAGATGCAATAGCAAAAAAAAAAAAAAAACATTCTTATTTTAAGATAGGTGGTTTCAAATGTAAAATTAAACAGCAAATGCATGTGCTTACATATGGGAAAGTTATCATGATCCTCAAAGCTCTCCAACCATACAACCAAGACTTTTGTGTCTGGTCCAGTCATGGAGGCAGGCTGACGGCCTAGTCGCCTGTACTTGACCCCAGGCTGGGCTGCTGCAGGAATTTCCTGGGGTGAGCCTGGGGATTCCTTCTCCAAAAGACGACTCTTCTCTGCCTCAAGTAGTAGAGTTGTAGGTTTAGCTGCAGGATCTGAACCTCGAAACATTGCTGGAGATTTGTCTGAACAAAGAGTTCAATTAAGTGATGACTGTCATTATTGTGAATACTAATCATTACAAGGTTTACAATTAATAAAGCAATGATCAATACAAAAATTAATCTAATCTCTTGAAATCCTTTTCCAAATTTTAGCGTATGAAATGTTTAGATGATAGTTAATGAAACTTAATGACAAGAATATAGTAAAATTTACTTTCTGTGCCGATCTCTGATGTACTTAATGAGCGAAGCCTGTATGTTTCTGGTGATGGGACGACTAAAGCTAACTCTGACAAAACATCTGCCCAGTAGAGAACTTGTTGTCTGCCGTCATACAGACTGCCCCCTGTTCCAGTCTGGTATTCATCTTCTGTAGACAGTGATATGTCAGCATTCAAAAGTCAGCTTCTTCAGTAACATTTTGTCATGGTATACAAGCCCAGGATAAGACTAAGTTTCATACCATCCATGTCGTCTGGTTCAATGATCTTCCATGATGTAGTTACATGACCTGTCCAACCTGCATGTTTCCTCACATCAACTGGCCAGCCTAGGGCATGGAGGAACTCTACAAACTGCGGCTGAACATTGCTGTAAGAAGTCTATTGGAAAGAAATACCCTCAAGTTGTTGATAATAGTAAAAAAAAAAATTATGACTGCTAATAAATAACAGGGATGAACTTGAATTTTTTTTTTAAACTACCCATTTAGGTTTTAAGTGGTGCATAAAAAACCCAACTTACCACATTGGATAAAATCTCTGCAGCAGTTGTCTGCCCATGCTTGACATAAAATATATGAACAGTGTCATTATCCCGGCTAGGTATGAAGTCTAAACACTCAAGGTCAGTGAAGAGACCAGAGTTGGTGGTGTCCAGCATGATGAGATTTGGTGGGACACTGCTGTTAGAGGGCTCCTATGTGGAACAAGAGAAAACTTAGGCTGATATCTATTATGTATACCATTTAACCCTTTACTGTTCTATTAGAGTATGGTGTTTCTTTAGTGCTGATGTGGCTGAAATATGCTAACATTTGCATTTTAAATATAAGTAAATAATGGTCTCAAAAAATGTGCAAGATGTTATTTTTATATTAAAAAAAATGACATGTCATCATAAGCACCAGTGAAAGTGATATACAAGTTAATATAAATAACTTTTACACAAAAAAATTAAATGGAGGTGTGACTGATAAAATTTGGAAAAGATCATCATTATTGTTCTATTACAAGCAGCTAATTTTTTAACATTAGTTTAAAGTTAAAGTAAAAAAAATTAAAGTAGTAATATTAAAACGAATTAAAATACCTCTGCTGTCAAATTGAGCTTTCATTACAATGCAACAGTAAATTAATAAAATAATAATCAAATATTTTCTAGGTTTGATTTTACTTTAATTATTTGTAAATTATTACACTTTTAGTACTCCAATGTTATAAATTAAGACTTTTTTTCCTGCTATTCAAAAACTTTTAACCCTTTGAGCCCTGGCCTCCCTGACCTAATTTCTCCCATTTCCTGAGCTCCCAGGCCCAAACCGATTTTCACTAATCTGCTTCTAACTTTGCCTATAACTTTTGAACCGTTTGAGATAATCAAGCCAAATTTGGTATCCAGACTCTGGATCAAACAACAATGCAGCAAGATTCTGTAATTCTTTATTTTTTTTTTACAATGTTTGAACAGAACAATGTATATAAAACGAACACATAATTATTGTTTTAAAAGAACATAGTAGAAACCAATTTACATTTAGTAATTGTTTTGTTATTATTGATACCTGGCCATACTAGTTGATCACCAGAAGTCCACTTTTGTATGATAACTTTCAAAACAGTCATCACTGCCGGACCCAATGCAAAGAAAAAATTCGCATGTTTTGCACCAGTAAACATTTTTTTTTCGTTTCGGCAAGTCTTTGTCCTTGACACCACGTGCATCAGAACGTACTTGAACAGTTTCATTGTCACTGTGAATTTCAATGTCACTGTGTTCAGTCTCAAATTCAACGTCACTATCATCACAATATAGACCAGGAATATTATCTTCTTCATCAGAATCAATAAGTAGTTGTATTGCCTGAGATGCATTCATTCTACTTCTTTTGTTCATATTTCGGTCTTTTGCTTCATCTTTTGCACCAACTGTATGTGATGAAGTCGACGGCTGTAGCTCAGCTTTTAGTTTCGGCGGCATTGCTACGAAATGTAAACACTTTCACTTTTCCTAAAATCAATTTTTAAAATCATAATCCCGCACTCAAAAGACATATGCGCAGTTTTAGTCAGTCTTCCGCTAATTATATTTAATTAGACGGTATACCGGCCGCTAGGAATATGACGCTAGATCATCGGGCCGGAAAACCGGCTTTTCGGACATATATGCCTAATGTTGAAGCCGGTTTACCGGCCTGGCGGGCTCAAAGGGTTAATAATATGTATGTGTATTTTTTTTAGTAATTTTAAAATGTGTTTGGAGGTAAAAATATTTTAATGTAGAGGGTTAAGCTGGTCAATAAAAACTTACTTTTAAAGCCTCTAGTGAAAGTAGACCATAGTGAGACAAAAACAAACGAGCTGTTTGGTATTCATTACAAATCCTGGGGGGAAAAAAATGAATTGTTGATACACTTAGTTAAAGAAAGCTATTCTGAAAAATTATCAAAAGAAGCTATTTTTTCAATTGGATATCAAACAGAAGTGTCTTATTATTTTTATGTCAGATATTGTCATGTATGTGTTCTAATACTTATTGTAGAAAAAGGAACATCATTTTCCCCATGTAAACTAATTTGTTGGGTGGATATAATGAGTCTGTGTCTGAAGGGACTATAATTCTCTTTAAAAAAATGTTCTTTAAAGAGGTTGAACTCGGATTTTTAGATAACAATTGGGACAAAATTGATGACAACGTTATAGGTATGGTAGACTGTAGAGGGTTAACCATTGTCATTTTTTAAACTTACCCTATAATTTAGAAATCATGGCTTAAAAAGAGATATGCATCAAAATTCAAGTGACCACTCACCTAGGTGGCTTACACTCTGTTGTAGGGTCAGGAAAGTGAGTTTTCTCTCTTTCTATTTTAGCTCTCTGAGACACTTCCTTTTCAAAGGTTGACACCTGCTCTATCAGGTGCTTCATCTTGTCAACATCTGCCGATTGTTTCTCTACCAGCACTGACTCTAAAGATGGGATGCTTTTCTCTCTAGATAACAAAACACAGTCATAGCTAGGCTACATTAAATGCTTGTAATGTATTTAAATTAAAACACTATTTTCTTATCTCAAATAGAAATGTGTCCAACAAGATAAGCAGATGTCCCAACTTACGCTTTAGTCTGTGCTATTTTATTAACACTCTCAGGGAAGTATCTGTGTTTCAGCTGGTGCTGGACACCCACCGAGTCATCAGGTATAGGTCGGCCAGGGTCTGACAAATGGGCTCTTGAGGAGATCTAAATGTGTAATTCAAGTTTTTGCTTTTTGGACTTTTAATATAGTAATCTATAACAGATCATCATTTTTCTAATCAAAGACATAAGATCAACATTTTAACAACACTTACTTTACAAGCCCTAGGGGAGTGTCTCAACTGCATGGTCCATGCATGACGACCAAAAGCTCCTCGGATCAAAGCAGTTACAGTAGGTAAAGGATCTATAGAGATTAGCACAGGTAACATTGTTACAGTAGGTAGAGGATCTAGAGATAAGCAGAGATAATATTGTTACAGTAGTTAGAGGATCTAGAGAGATAAGCAGAGATAATATTGTTACAGTAGTTAGAGGATCTAGAGAGACTAGTACAGGTAACATTGTTACAGTAGGTAGAGGGTCTAGAGAGATAAGGAGAGATAAAATTGTTACAGTAGTTAGAGGATCTAGAGAGACTAGTACAGGTAACATTGTTACAGTAGGTAGAGACATAAATTAACAAATGTAACATACTTTAGGTAGAGAGAGACATTAAGAAATGTAACATACTTTAGGTAGAGTACTTTAGAACAGGCCAAGCTAGGGCTGTATAGAACTAACCTTCAATGTTTCCTAACGGCTGCTCCAGTAGACCCACTATTACAGAGTTGTCGATAACAAAGTATCTGAACAAAGATCCTTGCTCTGGCAAAGTGTTCCCTTTAGCAAACTTGAGCAGAGAACGTTCATCCAGCAGGGAAAAGAGGGACTCTGGGCCACAAGGTGGAGGAAAAGCTCCCTAACAAAGACAGACAACCAACAATAATATACCTAATCATATAATTAGGGAAGGCTATATAAAAGCTACCTAACAAAGACAGACAACCAACAATAATATACCTAATCATATAATTAGGGAAGACTATATAAAAGCTCCCTAACAAAGACAGACAACCAACAATAATATACCTAATCATATAATTAGGGAAGGCTATATAAAAGCTCCCTAACAAAGACAGACAACCAACAATAATGTACCTAATCATATAATTAGGGAAGGCTATATAAAAAAAGCTCCCTAACAAAGACAGCCAACAACAATACAATTCCTAATCATATAATGTGGAAAGACTGATAAAGACCCCCTACAAAAAGGGAACCAATAATACAATACTTAATCATATGAGGGAAGACTTAATATTAAAAGCTCCCTAACCAAGTTAACCAACACCAATAATATTGAAACAAACAATGACGAAAGACTTATTTTTATTTACATTGGATTAACTACTTGCAGGTGTAACATTTTCAAAACAGTGGGCACAATACTAAGACTTACATATCTAAAGCAAAGTTAAAGTGTTTCAGCAAAATATTTAATTTTATACAGCCAATATTTTCCAACACTAACATTAAAAGCCTAAAATATTTTTATAAGCCTAAAGAACATACATTTACAAGTAACAAATAGCCATGTGAAATTCAACTTGATCAATGTCTGTTAAGTTTTGAGTGATTAATGATACAGGTAAGTAAAGTGACTTACCACTTGATCAATGATACAGGTGAGTAAAGCCTCAGCTGCATCCTTGACCCTCATGGAGGCAGGCATCAGTTCTTTGTTGCCTTTAAACTTTGGTGGGTCGCTAGCTCTGTTCTGTAAGAAATCAGCAGTAATTAAGATTTTTAATCAATATCAGCTAAAGTTAGTTTTCATTAATAGTTTCAGCTGTAGTTTTAATCAATCATGAAATTTTAATAATACACATAAAACTAAAATATATAATTATAATACTCAGTGTTACATAAGTATCATTTTTGTTTATAAAGAGTTACCCAAGTAGATTTAGTAACATTAGGTTCTTTTTTCATTTTAAAATAATAGACAATTGCAAGGTTAAAATATGAGGTAAAAAAAGGTTCAACATATAGTATTGGCTGTTGATGTGAATGATTTGGAAGATTCAGCAGCATCTTTTTCATGAAAAAGCAGGAAACAGCACTTTGTATTAAAATTTTCAGTTTTTAGGACAGATTGAGAAATTTAAAAATATATTCTATAAGAAAATTCTGGTTCACTTTCAGACATAAACCAATTGAACTTTTGGCTAATCTATCTAGATTCTGTTAAACTGGTGGTTTTTTTTACAGGCACATTTATTCTGACACATTGTGTTACAAATTTATTCATAGAATATTTTCAGTCTATGGTCATTTCTTGTATACAATTAGTAATATTCAGAAGAAAAAGAAAAAAATATTATTCATGAATATATGAAAATAGAGAAGCATAGCTTTATGAATGGGTCAAACTGAAAGATAAAACACCAAGATACATCCAATGAAATAGAGTAGGATTAGGGACTGATGGAATTGAAGTCAAGTACTTAAATGATGTTTTTTTTAATGATACAAGCCACATTGAATGAAGAACAAGTAGAGCTTGGAAGTCAAAAGGTTATATTTGAGCACTATGAGCAGTGGCTTCTAATAGGCTTTTATCTGTATTGTCCTTAAATAAGTGTGTAAGTATATCATCAGTATTGTCCTTCTGATGTTTGCAGTTAAATGTGCAGAGATTTTGTATTGTAGTCTAAGCTAAGTTCATAAAAAATAATTTTGGTTGTTCCTATTTTTATTTTGTGTTTCTAAATTTTTACCAACTTGTGTCAATGGATGATTGGCATCAAGCATGACATTTATGTTGCCAATGAAGGAATATGAGTAAAAACAGTGTCAAACACTTGGCTAAAAGCACAGCTAGATCACACATATAAACTGCATAAAGAAAACAGCACTATCAGGTAACTGTGAAATCTAGCTTAACTATCCATTGATAATCAGAGTGACCATCAAAGGCAGCAATCCCAGGGTATTAATTTAAATATTTTCAAACATTAAAGCTTTTAGTAAAGCATCCCTACTCCCACAAAACCCCTGCTAGACTTTTCTACACATGTCAAAATGTTTAAACATTTAAAAATCGAACTTTACTTTGCAACACTGTCAAAGAACAATAATTATTATGATTTAGTTAGTGAGAAACACAGTGCTGTACAGTTGCTGGTTGACTTGGTCCATGACACCATTGCTGGCAATTTAAAGACATTCTCAGCAGTTGCTTCCCTCAAAAAACCTGGGGGTGCATCAGATTTAAAGACATTTTTTCTCCAGCACTTCCTCAGTTTGGCACCTCCGTGGTCCTCTTCGGTGAACAGCTAAGTCAACTTTGAAGTGGTTATTACCACCTTGCAAGGCATATCCATAAAGCTACTGCTAGCTATTTAGCCAGCCTCAGCATTTTAGTTTCTGTCAGGGGATATCTTTTGTCCAGAAAGGATGATTTACAGACATGGACTCTTAGCAGATGGCATTCCAATTCTAAGTCATCATTTCCATTTTGGCAAGTGTCAACATTTTGTAGCCACACTGCCAGTGCTCCAACTACAAGTTTTCACTGAAGTGAAGTTATTGTGTGAGGAACTTTAAAAGTTACTTGACATTGAATATTTTGAAGTATCCAGAGGTCTTAGACTGCAGAGGGTTAACAGAGAGGCACTGAGACAGTGGAGGGTTAACTGAGAGGCACTGAGACAGTGGAGGGTTAACTGAGAGGCACTGAGACAGTGTAGGGTTAACTGAGAGGCACTGAGGCAGTGGAGGGTTAACTAAGGCACTGAGACAGTGGAGGGTTAACCATGAGGCACTGAGACAATGGAGGGAGAGCCAAATTAAGGCTCTGGATTACAGTACTAAGTAGGCCTACTAGGGAAACTTTTCCATAAGTTTTCATCTTAATTATCACTTAATTAGCATCTCAGTTGTCATATATCTCAAGATGATTAATTATTATTTTCAGTCTTCTGTAGTTTCTAGACCCCATCAACAGGTTTAAGAAATAAAAATAAAAATGTGTTAATCCATAAATAGTTTTTGCAAGTTAAAAACATGCGGACATTCAACTAAAACAACAAGAAACCATCCTATGTGTCCACCATTTGTTAAGTTAGCTTGTCATTCTCAGCTACTACACTACATTTTGATACGGTCAGCAAACATCACAACTGTCAAATTGAAATTAGTTACATCTTTTTACAGGGAGCTATAGAGAAAATGCTTTATTATGGTAGGCTTTACAGGCAAGTGTGCAACATGCAACACCTGGCCAATTTTAGTTTTCAAATAACCTTACAATCCCTGGTAATTAACATACCTTTACTACACATGCTTATGTTAAGCTTCCACTGGCAATGTTGCTATATTTGGTTATTCTATGACCTGAGTCCTGGCAATGAGCTAGTTAGTAGATAAATAGTGAAGCAATAGCAAGCAGTGTAGAGACACCAAGCCTAGCCCAAACAAGCAAGCATTGAACACAAAAAGGGGGGAGTTGGGGGACAGACTCCACTAGACAGGTGGGAGGCCATTGTACCTTCATTGACACAGATTTAGCATCCTTGTCAATTTTCACTTTCACTGTTTGCATTTCCTGAGTTTTAGTCTGAAAGAGAAGTCAGGTGCATTCAAGCCAAATGATTAGTTACAGAGGGGTACCAGCAATTAATCAGTCAAATCTGATGAAGCAAAGCATCAAGTCTCATAGAGTGATTAATCAATTAGCAGCTCTTAATTAGCAGGTATATATGGTGTGAGAGGTAATAATAATTGCTGCACTAAGTTCTTTAAAAACATTTGCAAGTTACAAAATATAATTTAGATATCAAGTATTAATCTATAATAGCAATCACTACAGCATTGTTAATTTGATTTATACATGTATAGAATATCTATCTAACATAGTTATGTATGTAATTGTATTTATGAAAAAAAGCAGCCATTTAAGTGATTAAAAAAATCATCTGTATTGTGCTAGTGTTGCTGGGTTATGGAAAGAGTGGCACATCATTCAAATAGTTGCAGTGGGACTTTTTGTAAATATGTAATTTCCCAGTGTTTATGGGACAATTTACTACAGGTCCATAATATTGGGGACAATTTACTTTGTCAAATGATTGGAGGAAGGGGGGTAATTTGATTTTTTTTTAGTATGGCCATATTTTCTCTTTAAATGCTGTTCTTTTGTGACCAATATTGGCAATATTAAAACTACTTTATTTTGTCTACAATCAAGACTAGGAAATGTTTGTAAAGGACATTACGTAAAAAGTATGAGAGTACTTTTCACCCAGAAATATTCTGTAATTCAAAAGTTAATTATATCTTTCACCAGCTGATGATGTCTATCTGGTAAAACTAAACTGACGCTGTTGAGTTAATTAGGTTAATGCAGTCCATGACAATATGGAAGTAAATGCCTGTAATAGATATTAGATTTAGTAATAAGCTGGTCAATTAAGTCTAACTGTATAACATTGATCAACAGAAATGAAAGTTATCAGATATTTGATTAGGGATTGACATTTCAATGACACATTATGGAATGTAATGAAATAATCTGGCTAGGTTTATAAGAAACCGTTTTCTTAACTCTAAATTGAATGTATTTAAAAAAAACATTAGAAACTAAACAAAAGAGAAAAGAAATTTCTGTTAAAGTATGTCTTCTTTTAAAATAAAATAAAAAGTGGGTGAATACATTGTGCTAGTGCTGCCAAGTTTTCCCCCAGTGTGGGTACAAAAAGAGTGGCACAGACAACTTCAGTGTTGCTATTTAACAACATCTTTGCCAACAGGTTATCAAATCATTGCCTCAAAGAACCAGAAGCACAACAAAACATTATTAAACACATGTTTGTCAAATATTTGAGCTTAGTTTAAACAACAAATAGCCTGAATCATGGTTTAATATACTGACTGAGGGATTCTGTAACTACAGTAATGGCTTTAAGCCTATTATACAGATTTTAACACACTTTGTTTCAACACAAAGTTCATGTAACTGTTTTAGAGTCAATTTAACTGAATCACTAGCAGTAGGTCAAGAGTCTTAACTTACAATCAAAGGAATATATGACTAAGTATTTATAGTAGTTTTTTGAGAGAGAAGTGTTAATTAAAAATTGAACTGAATCCATAATAAATGTTTTACAATAATGAAATATTTGACAATAAAGAAATATTGAACTGAATTCATCCTAAATATTTGACAATTAAAGAAATATTTATCTGAATTCATCCTAAATATTTGACAATAAAGAAATATTTATCTGAATTCATCCTAAATATTTGACAATAAAGAAATATTTATCTGAATCCATCCTAAATATTTGACAATAGAGAAATATTTATCTGAATTCATCCTAAATATTTGACAATAAAGAAATATTTATCTGAATTCATCCTAAATATTTGACAATAAAGAAATATTTATCTGAATTCATCCTCAATATTTGACAATAAAGAAATCTTTATCTGAATTCATCCTAAATATTTGACAATAAAGAAATATTTATCAGAAACAAAGAGTGGCTTTATGGAAAACATACCTGTGATTTGGATCCTGAAATACCAAGTTCCACAACTTCTAAAACCTGGTGTAAACACTCTCTGTCATAGAGCAGTGAGCTGTGCTCCACAAGCCACAGTTGCAGGCATTTGAAGGCTGCACACAGCATGGAGTGGAGGTCCCTGGAGTGGTTGGGTGCTGGTCTAGAGCACTGGACAAGGCAAAGTTACTTCAGTACACAATACTGGACAAGGCAAAGTTTACTTCAGTACACAGCACTGGACAAGACAAAGTTTACTTCAGTACACAATACTGGACAAGGCAAAGTTTACTTCAGTACACAGCACTGGACAAGACAAAGTTTACTTCAGTACACAATACTGGACAAGGCAAAGTTTACTTCAGTACACAGCACTGGACAAGACAAAGTTTACTTCAGTACACAATACTGGACAAGACAAGGTTTACTTCAGTACACAATACTGGACAAGGCAAAGTTTACTTCAGGACACAGCACTGGACAAGGCAAAGTTTACTTCAGTACACAGCACTGGACAAGACAAAGTTTACTTCAGTACACAATACTGGACAAGACAAGGTTTACTTCAGTACACAATACTGGACAAGACAAGGTTTACTTCAGTACACAATACTGGACAAGACAAGGTTTACTTCAGTACACAATACTGGACAAGACAAGGTTTACTTCAGTACCAGAAATGAACATGTTTTTGGCCATAAGACAATAGGCTTAAATAAAAACACATCTTGTAAGAGAACCATGAGCCCAACTATCATGGCCTTTAATCAGCTAGACTCAACATTTCTCACCTGGGCTCTAAGACTAACTGCAACAAGCTACTCACCTGAAAAACAATGAGGTCACATATCCACTTGACAGTTCGTTTACACATGAGCATGTTGGCAGGTTTAATCTTGACCTTGGCCAGCCCAGCCAACAACTCCATGGCTGCCAGAGCCACGTTTAAGTCAGTCTTCCATGTTGCCATCAGGCGGTTACATACCAGGGAGGTGGCATGACCAAACAGTCCATACGCTGTATCTAGACAGTGGGAGGTATTTCACATTTACTACAGTGCCATCCATATTTCCATTACACTTTTAGATATAAATGTCCAAATAAAGAAACAAGTTCCAGCTGTAGGTGAGTGGGTCAAACATGTAGTTACCTAAGTTGGTGGATCCAGTGGTTTGAAGTCTCTGGTATGTTGTTTCCTGGTACCTCTCCTGGTAGCTGGTGGTGTCTGTAGACGTTGAGCTGGGGCTTGTCTTGCTCATATCTGGCACACACATCAACAAACACACATATAAATTAACACAGAAATTCAGAGGTCAAATAGATGTTTTGAAAACCATCACATCACACACACAAAATGTGACAAAAAGAATAAAGCAGGAGTGATCTCCCCTAAGCTTTCTCAAGTATTCTTATATAACAGTACGGGGGATGACAATTCGAGATATAGACATACCTTTATAATCAATTCTTACATACTATAACTTTTAAAAAAAGAATAGAATCTCATAGGAAAAAAAAATTGCGCATCAAGTGAACAATAACAATGCGTTATATATACGTTTATTGAGAAATCTGAAATTACTCAAAATTTGATAGAAAACAGAGAATTAGATCTTTTACTTAAAACATGAAATTTCATCTATCTATCAGAAACAGTACTCAAGTTATAGGCTTTTGAAAAACTGAAAGTAGAATAAGTTCCACTTCCGGTTACCGGAAATTGATGACAAGTTGAAACAGAACTACAAATTTGATATAATACTTATATAAGTAATTCCATCAACCTAGCAGTAACGGTACTCAAGCTAACGTGTTCACAGACAGACAGAAAAGATTGCAAAAATTTTCCAACTCAGGAAGGTCTAAAACGTCGATTTGTGAAAATCTCTATTTCGATTTTTTAAACGATTACAATACTTCCTTTATACGCCATATATCTGAGAAAGTAAAAATGTGCTTGATGTGTAAGACCAACCTGCTTGCATGTCTGAATCACTGAGGTCCTGGTTAGGTTGTAAAGGGAGATTATCTGCCTGCTCACTGGTAGCCAGATCCTCCACAACAAGCAGGAAACCACCTGGAAACAGTAAGTTGTGACATTAGTACAGTCCTCCATGTGCCTAAAGCAAACCACCTGGAAACAGTAAGTTATGACATTAGTACAGTCCTCCATGTGCCTAAAGCAAACCACCTGGAAACAGTAAGTTATGACATTAGTACAGTGCTCCATAATTTGCCTAAAGCAAACCACCTGGAAACAGTAAGTTATGACATTAGTACAGTCCTCCATGTGCCTAAAGCAAACCACCTGGAAACAGTAAGTTATGACATTAGTACAGTGCTCCATAATTTGCCTAAAGCAAACCACCTGGAAACAGTAAGTTATGACATTAGTACAGTGCTCCATAATTTGCCTAAAGCAAACCACCTGGAAACAGTAAGTTATGACATTAGTACAGTCCTCCATGTGCCTAAAGCAAACCACCTGGAAACAGTAAGTTGTGACATTAGTACAGTGCTCCATAATTTGCCTAAAGCAAACCACCTGGAAACAGTAAGTTATGACATTAGTACAGTGCTCCATAATTTGCCTAAAGCAAACCACCTGGAAACAGTAAGTTGTGACATTAGTACAGTGCTCCATAATTTGCCTAAAGCAAACCACCTGGAAACAGTAAGTTATGACATTAGTACAGTGCTCCATAATTTGCCTAAAGCAAACCACCTGGAAACAGTAAGTTGTGACATTAGTACAGTGCTCCATAATTTGCCTAAAGCAAACCACCTGGAAACAGTAAGTTATGACATTAGTACAGTGCTCCATAATTTGCCTAAAGCAAACCACCTGGAAACAGTAAGTTATGACATTAGTACAGTCCTCCATGTGCCTAAAGCAAACCACCTGGAAACAGTAAGTTGTGACATTAGTACAGTCCTCCATGTGCCTAAAGCAAACCACCTGGAAACAGTAAGTTATGACATTAGTACAGTCCTCCATGTGCCTAAAGCAAACCACCTGGAAACAGTAAGTTATGACATTAGTACAGTCCTCCATGTGCCTAAAGCAAACCACCTGGAAACAGTAAGTTATGACATTAGTACAGTCCTCCATGTGCCTAAAGCAAACCACCTGGAAACAGTAAGTTATGACATTAGTACAGTCCTCCATATACCTAAACCTCAAAGACAGACAAAATCTTTATTGGAAGGCACATCTCAAAAAGCAGTGGTGGCTTGTAGTAGTTGACTAAATATAATAAACCACTGCACTTTGGTACAGTATAAGGAGCTAGAAGAGAAAAATATTACCTAATAACATTTGGGTGTTTTGAGAGTCTGTTTCATTAGTGAGTGCAACTCTAATCAGCTCTGTGATCCGAGTGCGCAGTGAGAGGAAAGTGACCGCTTGCTGACCATCCTCTTTCTTCAAGATATCTGGAACAAAGACAAGACAATTTTAGCCAAAAACAACAGATAAAAATAAATGTTGTAATCAACATTTCTTCTTAACGTAATAGTGACCTTTAAAAAATGAGTATTTTATATACCTTTAATTTCCAAATGTTTAAAATGTAGAGGCAAGCAGAGCATAGAGATCAACAAATGGATGCAAGCCTTTCTCAGCTCAGAGTAGGGGATCTGTTCACATAGCCTGGAACAAACAACACAGCACATCAAACTAAGTCAGACTTCTAACAACACACAGCAAACTAGGTCAGACATCTAACACACAGGAAACTAGGTCAGACATTCAACAATACAGCACATCAATCTGTGTGAGACATCTAACAACACAGCACATCAAACTAGGTCACACATCTAACAACACAGCACATCAAACTAGGTCAGACATCTAACAACACAGCACATCAAACTAGGTCAGACATCTAACAACACAGCTAAGTAGGTCAGACATCTAACACACAAAAACTAGGTCAGACATTCAACAATACAGCACATCAAACTGTGTGAGACATCCAACAAAACAGCACATCCAACTAGGTCAGACACATAACAGCACATCAAACTATGTGAGACATCTAACAGTAGGAGATTAAAATGTATTTACTAAAATCTTTATATAAAGCATAAACAATAAATGTCACAGCTAGAGTCAACACTGAGCTGTTAAAAATGTTTTTAATAGAAATTTATCCTTTAACAATCATAAGGACCACACTGTTGAACATTATGTTATGGTTATTTCACATTACACAAAGCTTCAAGTGGATCCGGTAAGTTGGTACCAAACTACTGCATTAGTGAACAGCAGTGAAATAAACAACCTAAAAATAAATAAGCAAAGTCCTACTTGAAATCTGGGGTTGTTTTACTCAGCACTAGTTCTATGGCCTTCAAAATGTAGGGTAACAGTAGCTGGACTCCAGACAGGTCCACTCGCAGCAGTGAGCAGGAGTTGAACAATATGTTGGACAGGACTTCACCACTTATGTTAGCCTGTACCAATACAACAGGCAACATTTAAATCAGCAGGAGTTGAACAATATGTTGGACAAGACTTCACCACTTATGTTAGCCTGTACCAATACAACAGGCAACATTTAAATTACATTCAATCAGCAGGAGTTGAACAATACATTGGAAAAAAACAATATTTGACTTGACTAAAAGATAACATACAGTTGAAAAAAAGTACCTCATCAGTCTGTAAGCCATAATACATTATGAGATAAAAGCGAGAATAATATTCAGGGAGAATAGCCTCCCCTGTCTTGTGTGCACAAAAAATTCTACAGAGGGCGCCACAGGCTTCAGCCCTCCCTGCCTGGTAGGCCACGTCTCTGGTCTGGCTGGGGTCTGTGTTGAGGTCCATGGAGAGAGAGCTGTGCTTGGACTCAATGAATGAGCTTGTCCTACGCTCCTTGACTGAAACGATAAAGAATTGAGAATCTGAACCAACTTAACACAGGGAAATGTGACCATCAAACTCTGACTGGTTTGTACAGTGAGCCTACTGGCAAGCTGGCTAAATAACAATTAACCTAAGGGCCAATAGACTCAATTTACTTTAGATATCTAAACATGTAACAATAGTATTTGACTAATTTATAAACTGATTAAAAGATTTTGTTAATTCTATCTTTGCATTTAGCAAACACAAGAGACGTTGACATAAAAACCCAGGGTAAACCAACCTGGAGCAGCGTGTGATGGATGAAGTTTAACTCCGGCCAGAGAAGCATCAAACAGCCAGGCATCAAACAAGTGAAGAATGCTGTTACATTTTGGCCGTTTGGGGGCGTATGGCAGCCTGGTGTCCAGGGTGAGCTTCTCTACATTGATACTGTTTACTGGCGGGGCTGCTATACTTTTGGCATGAGCTTTTGATGTCACTGGAGTCAAAGGTGGAAATGGGTACAAAACACACATTTGAAACTTTTTATAACATTAACTTTTCACTCTAGCTAGGTTTGAGACATGATGATAACCAACAGTTATGTAAAAACTAGTCATGGATATATATGGAGAGTAGTTTGAGAAAAAAATAGTTTCAACAGCTCATTCTGCATAAACAAAAGATGTGTATAATTGTAACTAACATGTTCACTAAAAAACAAAATTGTGTACCTTTTTCTGTAATGGATTTGTTAAAAAAATATTTTAACTGGATAAGAAGAAATAACTGAGCAATTTTTTAAAACAAAGCACAAGTAAGACAAACCTTTAGTGGTGAGAGCAGATATTGTCTTCACTGCTTTTCTCTGTCCTGGAGGGGTTGATGGGGTGGTCACAACTTTACTGCCTATACCACTGTTCTGCATTTCACACAGAGACGCCTCCATCTTAATTTCCTGAGGGAGACCTGAAGAAATGTCCTAACAAGCTGATCATTTCTATATACATAACTATCTTATATAAAGGCTAGTACAAGATGAGAAGGTGATCAATATTATACACACAACTATCTTATATAAAGGCTACCATAAAAGATACTTGAAGAAATAGTTACCTAAGAAAGCATTGACCATAGCAGATATTCCCTTCATAGCTCTCAGGAATACAAAAGGAAGCCTAGACAGACAAGGGTGATATGAAGGATCAACAACTGCATCACAGGTCAGGGCATACTGCAAAAACTTGGGGGTGTTGCTGACCACACTTGGGCGGCTCAAGTCTACTGGGTTCTGGAGGATGTGCAGGAAGCGGAACCAGCACTGGGCTATGGATTCACTGCTCATGTCTGCCGGCAACAGCTGGGACTCCTCTTCTCCTGAACAATTCAATAATTAAAATAGTTTGATGATACATCCATAGCAAAAAATGCAATCAAACTACAGCACAAACATCTTACCAATGGTCATTTCAGGAAACTCTGGTCCATACATGATTTTAAGCATGCTGGCTGTGAGGGTGTGGTTGACACGATGCCACATGGTGACCAGAGCCTCGTGGTGGCGCCAGTACAGGCACATGTTGCGAAATGTCTTCCACAAGGATGGTGATGGGAAGCTCTTGTGGCAGGCCATCAGCCAGATGACAAACAGCACATTCAGCACACGGTCACAAAGATGTTCACTTATGTCATCTATAATCAAAGAACACTTTTTTTTCATTCACAATAGTGTAAGTTCAGATGGTAATTTCTGAAGAGTGCTAAGACATTCATTAATTAAAGTCAGTTCACTAACTAATCAGACATTTTGGTTGAATTTCACAAGAATATTTACAAACTGCATCCATTAAAATAAATACTGCAAATTTAATGCGTAGGTATGTGTGTATGTATAAATATATAAATAAATATGACAAAATAAATATAATCTGTAATTTTAAAATAACAATTAGCCAGATAAAAATAGCATTACTCCCAAAAAAAATGTAATGCTAGATCATGAATTACCTGACTAAATCAGAAAAATCTCAAATAAGATACACTGTTTACATAAGCTACAGACTGAACCAAAGCCATGGCTACTTTAGTTACATGATTTTGTGGGCATACTTTAAAAAAAATAAAAACAGACTTAAAATTAATTAAGCTATGATTTGTCAGTGAAATTTAACAACTTAAGGAAGCCATTTTTATTATGTTAAATCATAATTACAATGTTTTGTAAGTACTTTTCATGTTAATTGCTGCTATAAAATATATATATAAGCACTTGAAAATAATAACTTAAAACAAAACAAAAAGCACAAATTACACTGCCATTTACATTTAATTATATTTTTTTTAATGTCAATTTTAGTTATTATTGAAGCCATAAGTACATATTAATAAGCTATAAAATGCATTACTGACAGTATGCAAAGCCTCTCCTTACAACAGCTTATTCATTGTTTATGTACTTAACATTTATTGAAATAACCGTCACCTGGGACTGGCATTTAATTAAATATACTATTGGTAGTTTGGTGTCTGGCCAACAGTCTTGTACTGTATCTGCTAGAACACAAGGTGCATATGGTTTCTTGTGATTGATTTTAGACAAAAACATACAAGCTATTTTATTTGATCGCAAAATGAAAGACACTGATACAAAAACAGACTTAATTTATTTTGTGTTGAGACAGCCTTGTTATCAAAGTTTGATAATTTTAAAAGTTCAACTTAATTCTTACAAGCTATACAGTTTAAAAAACCTTTGTAAGATAATGTATTTTTCTACCCTTTTTTATTCTGTTCATTAAGCTATACATTAACTAATATGGACAGTAAATAACATGCTTTGTTTTGAGACCAGAAATTAGCCAGTTCTAAAAGCAAGACAACACCAAGTTAAAACAGCAAATAGATAAAATCACATGGGTGCAAGATTTTATTGTTATAATAGTGTCTCTAGATTACATGGCATTTAGTACACATTGAGAAAACTATTCAGTCAGAATAAAAAAAAATTTAACAATCAAGTTTTTTAACACTACAGTATTAGATAAAGGTATACATAACAAATAATAAAAAACTATCAGACAAAACTGATAATTTATTTTGTATTTCTATTGTTTAATTTTTTACAATATTCACCGATAAATTGCAATAAGTCTGTGTTGAAAGTTGGTAAATTAAACTGAAGCTAGAAATACAATCTTTTTAAACATTTACTGATAAATAAAAAATTGATTGTGCATATATATAAAAGAAGTATACATCTATTAATAATAAAAATTTGTGCCATTTGAAATAGTTGGCATTAAAGAAAAAAATTGATATTAATAAGCCATTATCAGTTAATTATTGTCAGTTATTTTAGAGCATGTATCAAATGACACAAATTTTATTGATGCTTATACAAGTTGTTATTTATAGCCAGCCAATGTATCTTACCATTACTCAATCCAATCACGTCTGCATGGTGCCAAAAGGATGTTAAAAAAATTGCATGCATCAGTCAAAATGTTGGTTGAAAACATACAGACAAATGTAAAGATGTGCATCACACGGAGTACATGCCATGTTTGATGTACAATTAAATCTTATGTGTACTATTTTTTTTATCAACACTGGTAGATTTATTTTAATTTTATTAATTTATTAAAATAAATTTATTTTAAAAATTAAAATAATTATTAAGATTTTTTTTCAAATAACAGTTAATGAAAAATATTCAAGGTTATAAGAATTCAACAATTATAAATCATAGCTAAATTTCTGCAGCTGCTTGCAGTTATGTTCACTCATGAAAACATCCCCAGTTTCAAAGTCTGATTGGAAAACCAGACAATTTTAAAGAAAAAAATATTCAGGATAAAAGGAATTACTTTTAAGAAACATGAATTATCTTAAAATTAGTATCCAATGTTTCTAAAAAAGTGAGTTTTGTTAGTAGCATTCCCTATTTCAAAAGATGGTCCTATAAGAATTTTGTTTTCTACATTCATGATTCCAATGATTATTATACACAAAACAGCTTACATAGGAGGTGGAAAGTCTCAAATTTCTTATAATGGGAGCGCACAAAAATGTCTTAAATTGGGGAGCGCACAAAGCGTAGAATGAATGAGTGAATTAAATACAGGTTACAATCATTCAAAGCTGGGACCTAACAAAAACATTTTCCTAAATGTAATCTATGGAAAGTTTACCTTTTTCAGTAGGTGGACTTAACAGACTGTCATTTGCTGCTAATAGAAATTTCAGCAAGACCTCCCATGTTTCTCTAGTCAACATTGACGATTCTTTAGCCATGGTCTCTATGGCTCGTAGAACACGGTGACACAGTAAAGCTTGCCTATTTACCAAGTCTGGTGCTGAAAGATCAATTTAGAAAGGTACACAAGTGATACAGAAAACAGGACTGGGTGGCCTACCTTTAACTTGGGTGTTATCAGTGGTACATTTTTACAGGTAAAAATTCAAGATAAAAATGAATGATAATTTTTACATATGTTGCTTAAAAAAAGTATGCTGAATGAACTCACGTGAATCTGGACGGGGAGTGAAAAGATTGAGCAAGTGGTGTAGCATAACTTGGGCAAAAGGGTTGGGATCTTCAATGATAGGACGTGGCACACAAGGTTTGGGACTGACTAGTGCAGTTAACCACTCAACATAAACTTTGACACAGTTGTTGATTGTCTCGTGCTCAGTTAGTGGTAAACCCAAACCAAAACAAAGAACCTAAAAATAAAGTTAGACCACATTCATATTACATACTAAACAATGGTTGCAATCTATATTTTAATAATCATATACGCACTAAAATTAAAATTGTACCTCCATAGTCCAGTTGACATCTTTCTCATCTTGAAGACTACTGGGTTCATCTGTTCCAGATGCTATACTTAAGCTTTGGGCAATGTGTTTTACCACATGACATGCAACTTCTCGTCCCACATTAGCAGGAAACTTGTGTAAAACTGATTGGTTTCCTCTGTCACATTGAATCTCCTCTTGCAAGGAGGCCCAATCCCAATACATTTTCCAGCACTGTCAAGACTTTGCGATTGGTATTTCATCAAACAGAACTGTCTAAACAGTTGTCATTCTTTGATCTACATGACTAGCTTCAATAAAATACCTGAAAAATTAAATACAAAAGAATAGTATTGTTTTAGAACAAAAAGAAGAATAGCAGGGCTAATCACTGCAATAATCTAAATTTTTTTGTTGAGTCTATTGGCATTGGGGGAGTCAATAAAAGTGACAGGCATTTCTCAGAGGGGGTGGTATTAAAGCCATATTAATTAATTTAATGAGTCACATATTTCTCACATTACTATTAGGCCTAATTATAACTACCTAATTAGTAGGGCCTACTAACTATTATACTTGTGACTTAGGCCTATACTACTAGCCTGGGACGATTTTACATACTACGTAGACCTCCCTAAAAGTAAAATCTAAACCGATAGATTACTAAAATGAAGTTATTAAGTTAAGTTTAAGCTAATTAAGACTCTTTACTTAACTACTAATAACTAGGGATTCTATCTAATTCTAGTCATATATAATATATCTACTATCTATCTAGATCTAGTCTGAGTAGTTAGTAGGACTAAAGTAACTTTTACTTTACTAATACTAATTATTAGTTAGTAGGGCTAAGTAACTTTTACTTTACTAATTAAAGTAGTTAGTAGTTATTTATAGGCCCTGTGCGTAGTAGCTGTAATTGTAAGTTTACTAAGTAGTCCAGTAAGTACAAGTAGATCTAGATCTTCTTAGATGTCTTCTTAGATCTAGCTAGGCTAGGCCCCTTCAAAGTATTCATTCAACATTCAACTGTATTCATTCAATTTCATAGTGTAACCAAACATAATTTATTTTTGACTAGATCTAGATCTAATAGTAATAATAGTATTAATAGTAATAGTAATATAATATAGGCATAATTATGTATTTCAATTATGTATTCAAAAATCTAGAATCTAGATCTAAATCTAGATGTCTAGATTTGTTTTTATTTTGATTATTTAGGTCTAAGTTGAAAATATAGTGAAATACATAGCCGGAAGTGTCTGTAACAACTAATAGCCGAGGAATGCCGAAAAAATACTAAAAATTAAGCTGTTGAATAGATCTATTGTTAAAATAAATAGTACATTCTTTGCATAGAGTGAAATCTATTTAGATCTTTGTGCGGGTTATAAGGGTCATCCATAAATGATTTCAAACTTGTAGTGAGGAGGGGGTCCGAAATTTTGTGATGATGTGTGATGAAGGGAGGGAAGGGAGCGCTCAGATAGTGTGACGTCACACTTGCATTTGAAAAAAGTATTGCTAGAAACTGAATTTAGCCATTATTTCGCATTTCAGAACACTGTTTTAATAAATTGTAATAGAGAGTGATTAAAATACTCTATGGTGACTGAGCAAAGTCAGTATTTTTTAAAATTTATTATTGAAAAAATAATTCACCTGCAATTTCGAGGGGGTTGTAGGCTGATAGGTGACGTCATTTTATGGTTGGGGGGGGGGTGGCTTTTGTGACAATGTTTTCAATTTGGAGAAACAGAAGAACGCCCCCCTCCCCCGAATGAAGTTTATATAGAAAATATATACTTTAACCAATGTCCGCTTCTCCCACCCCACCCCCACGAGAAAAAAGACTGAACGAAGCACTGCCTTGGAGACGTTTGTTACTGTTTTTCAGTTCACCAACAAGAATTGTGTTCGTCTCTTTCTAACAATATAATTGTGGAGCAATCTTCCAAATAGCTAGGATTGTTTTAATTGTAGAAAGGATAGTTTCCCACATATGTGAAAATGGCATACGCACCGAAATGGTTAAATCAATTCGAGAATAGGCACTTCTTCAATCAACTCTTTCTAATTTGGGGTACGGGATAAGTACCTAATGGTTTAATCATATCGGGAATAGGCACTTAATTCTTCAATCAACTCTTTCTAATTTGGGGTACGGGATAAGTAGCGAGGTTTAATCAACTCAAGAATAGACACTTCTTCAATCAACTCTTTCTAACATCGTCATAGTCATGTGCTACCCTTACTTTTCGGTATCTGGACCAGGTGCAGTGTTTCTTCCAGCCTTTTTCTCCTGAGGGAGGGGGGAAGGGCGGACACTGGTAAAAGTATATATTTTTCTAAATAAATTATATTTCGTTCGGTGGGTGGAAGGGGGGGGGGGGGGTGACGTTCTCTCCCCCCCCCCCATGAGATGCCTGAAATAAAATCTGACCATGGGGTCGTCCATAAATGACGTCACACTCGTAGGGGGAGGGGGGGGGGTGGGTTCGTAATTTTGTGACGGTGTGTGATGAGGGGGGGGGGGGGGGCAGATGGTGTGACGTCACACTTTTGCATTATAAAAGCAATGTTAGAAAACGAGTTTTAGCCGTTATTTCGCGTTTTATAAAACGGTTTCAATAAATTGTAATAGGAATTGATCAAAATACTCAATGTTAACAGAGCCCTGACAAGATTTTAGAAAAAATATCGATGTTTTAAGAAAAATTCAACAGCAATTTTGAGGGGGTGGTGGGCTAATGTGTGACGTCATTTTAGGGGGGGGGGTCTGGCTTTTTGTGACGACGTGTGACGGAGGGGAGGGGGAGGTAAAGATCGTAAAAAAAAGCGTGACGTCATTTATAGATGATCCCCCTGTCCATGTTTATGCTGGTGAATCGGTTTTTAATCGGTTTGTTACCATTGTTAATTGTTGAATGCAAGTTTGAACCTACAAAAGGTCGACACGCCATAAAAACCACCGGCCTCAAGGCAACAAACCAAAAATATTCACTGAACAAAATGGCAACACCGACATGTCAGCCCTTTTTGTCAACGTCGGTCGTTGTGCTGCACTCCTTAGAAAGTTCAATAAGCGGACCTAAAAACTCCCGGCACTTCTTTCAGTTCCTTCTTATTCTTTCCAGCACTCTACATCGCCATGGCATTTAATCTAATTAGATATCGAATTAGTCATAATAAAATTAAAGATGACTAAATTCAATAACAAAAGGGGATATCACAAGATAAGGCTAATAACTAGCCGAAGAAGTTGAGCTGTTGGTCAAGATGGTTGGTTTCGTGCCTTTAACGACAGGCCAACTTTTTGCTGATGAAGAAATAAGGAAAAGAAGATGAGGTTGTATTAAGGCACACACTGTGCAGATCACCAACAAATACCAACCAACAGGTATTGAGGAAGACCTCACAAGCATTATTTCTTTGAGACATTTTTTTCTCGGCGGGAGGTGTGTGTGTGTGTGGGGGGGGGGGGGGGGGGGGGGTAACATTTCCCTGGGGGAATGGTTGACACTGGTACAAGTATATATTTTCTATATAAATTCTTAGGTTCGGGGGTGAGGGGGCGCCCCCCCCCTCCCAAAAGATGTCTGAAAAACACTGCGCTTATCTCTTCACCCCCCAGAGGCGTAGCTAGGGGAGGGCGGGGAGGGCGGCCGCCCCGGGCGCCGACCCTAGGGGGGCGCCAAAAGGGGTAGAAAAAAATAAAAAAACTCATTTTAAGCTGCAGTTTTGAATTATAAACAGTCAAAGTAAAGAAATTTAACGGCTAAGAGCCTTTGCATACTGATTTAACTGTTTTCTACATTGATTGTGTAACTGTAAAACGTATATCCTTAAGAAGCAGTGACCGGAAAAATCGCTTTCCAGCTTTCCTAGATGGGGGGGGGGGGGCGCTTTTTCGAAGACTAAAATCGGAAAAATTCACATCGGATTAAGGAATAAATAACCGATATCACTCAGAAAAGAAACCCATTCAGCTAAAGCGTAATTTACGATTGTGTAACATAAAAAAAAGAGTTAGTGACGTTTAAAATCCGCTCTACCATTTTGTCCAAGATGGTGGGGCTCTTTTTAACCAACAAAAATCGCAGGATTTGTACTAGATCGGTTACTATATAACTCTTTTAACACTTAGAAAAGAAATCAATTGTATTAACACTTAATGTACGATTTCCCTTCTTAGTTTTGCTAAGTAATAACGCGACTAGTTCTTTGTAAGATTCTTATGATTCTCAACTTTATCGCGAGAGATCAGATAGTTTTACTTGATTGCATTACATCTTACCTGGATCACTTCATTAAAGAGAAATAAATATCACTGATTCTTGTATCGCTATCCGATCAGTAAAATAGCAGTCTATCGGAGCGAGTGGTGGATTATTACTTTGTTAAACCTAACTGATAATTTAGAATTGTAATATAGGCCTACTATTATCAAAATTTTCTAAAGACACGACCAAAAGTAGACAAAATAAGTTTGCACCTTCTACAAAATACACTCTAAAGCAGTGGTTCCTAACTTTTTGGAGGTACCGAACCCAACCAGTTTTATATGCGCGTTTACCGAACCCTTCTTAATAGTTGTATCGTCCACACTGACAAAATCCGATCGTGTATCTGAGTGTATCATATGAGTCGGCTGTGTGACTTGACCTACGCGGAAGCCCTGAGACTGACTTAGCGAACCTCTTGGGTTCGATGGAACCCACTGTTTTAAGCTCTTTTGATTTTCTTCCTTTTATTTGTTTCGGCTCCCTAAGGAACATAGGCGTAGGCAACACTCGTCAACTCACTTGATTTTTATGAAGATCAAACCCTAATAACCCAGCCTCCACCTGAACGTCATGGGCGTCAGCTATTATCATTACACCGGTTATTACAGCTTCTTCATCCAGTACAATTAGTTCTGAATTTGTTGTTGACTGTGTGCGAGAAGACAGCGCACATCTGATAAATCCAAGACTTCAAGCTCTTGTGTCCGTTGTATTCCAGTTTTTTCCTCTTGCTTGTTTCATTATACAATCAACCAGTCAATGAAATACCCAAATCGTATTCCAATGTGAACAATACTTTTGCTATTGTATGTACATTGTATGACCTTAATCTAACAAACTTATAATCCAAGTATGTACTGTATCATAACAGAGACTGTTCCAAAGATAAAACATAAAAAGACTGTCCTAAACGAATTAGCACCGCTACAATATTTTTTTTTCCTGACATGACTAATCATCATTTTTTAAAGGATAATGCATCTTAAGTGGAATATAATTGGCATCGAGTAAAGTGTTAGGGAACGACAATCATACAGCGTAATTATTATTTTTTTCCGGACTGTCGCACACACAAACACACTCACACACATGCACACACACACACAAATATATATATATATATATATATATATATATATATATATATATATATATATATATATATATATATATATATATATATATATATATATATGGGAGGGCGCCAAACTGAAAGTTCGCCCCGGGCGCCGGGAGGGGTCGCTACGCCTCTGTCACCCCCCCCCCCCCCGAAGAAATGCCTGAAAGAAACTGTGGTCACGGCCCATTTATTGTGGAAATACACAATTTTATGTTACCCTTCGCACACTATCTGTCGAATTGCTAATTTAACATCAAATTTCCTTCATCAGATGGCGTCTTTTTACTAAATCGACGATATCAGATGGCGTCTTTTTTACTAAATCGACGATATAACTTTAAAAAATGTAAGGCGGTTTCAATCTTTTAAACATACCACTGCAGTAGGTATATCTTTTTAAAATCTTTTATTATAGGCCGTCTTTACAAGACTATTACAAGAGGAATGGTAGGTTCGCAGCGGTAGATCAATATACTCAGGGTGTGACTTTAACTACTTTAACATAGCTGAGAAACAAAGCTGATTGTGAGTGAGCAGATAGAAGGGTTTTGACCTATAGCGCAACACGATTCATCTAATTTCGGAAGGGTTTTTATAACCATGAGGATTCATTCGTGACTTCGGTACTAAACACATTGTTGACATGTCTGCCGGAGAACAGCCACGCCCACTTTCTGCGGCAAGTTTCGTCTCACCTGTGTTGTCATCGCCATTTTTGTTTGGTCACATGACTACCCTCTCTTGATGGGAACTTTTCGTGTGGCCTTGTGGCGAGGACAAGCGTTGCCACTGAGCTTGCGATTGCAGACGGCGGAGCGCGGTGTCAAACACCGAACGGCGGAATGGAGTAGTGGAGATAACTGTGTTCCTAAAGTATAGAGGAGTCTAGATCTAGACTCTAGTTATATTTTTTTACCATCACCAAGTCATCGGGCCGATAGTTTAGTTTAGCCAGTGTGAATAGAACATATAGATTCTAGAAGATGTATATTTATTAGGCACATCATGCGTCACTTTAATGAGTCTTACTTTAATCTCTTACAATGTTTTACTTTAAGTAGGCCCTAATCTACTGTGTTTTAAAGTAATTCATTTCAAGTAACGGCTGAATTGAATGTTATGGTTCATGTTTAAGCAACAGGATGCCGTGTGTGTACCAAATTCAATGCATGATAAAATGTATTTTCACTGTTCGCTAGACCAGAGGTAGGCTGTACTAGATCTAGATCTATACAGTATATAAATATATTGAGTATAATAACCAAGTTTAAAACTAAGTAAAGATTCTCAATACTGTTGTCTTAGTGTTATAAGAGTGTAGTTGTAGTGAGTGTTGGTACCACTAGAGCTAGATCTACTTTAATCTACTAGATCTAGATTAGAGATCTAGCCTAGATCTTGATTCTAGTACACTAGTACAGTTAAGTACAGAACAGTAGTATTATTGTCCACTGTGTGACTGTTTAGTAGTGTTTAGTGTTAGTTAGCCTGGCGAAAGTAGGCATTATTAAGCCGCCTCTAAAAAAGTATGTAGACTTAGACTAATCACACTAACCAGTTGTCGGTTAAAAAAATTTGGGGGCCCCATATATATATATATATATATATATATATATATATATATATATATATATATATATATATATATATATATATATATATATATATATATATATATATATATATATATAGGCCTATATATAGGCGCCTATATAGATTTATATATGTGTTTGTGTGTGTGAAGTGAAACGAAAAACAATAAGTACACAAATGCTAATGGAAATACGCTAGTATTCCAAGATAGGACAAATAAATCAACTGTTGGGAATTTAGCAAAAGAATGTATACACTTTAGCCTTTGTATTAGGTGGCTTTCTCAGTATTATATTATCTAAGCCACTGGAAGCTTGGATATAGGCCTACGCATAAACATGCGAAAAATAAACAGATCTAAATTCGTCGGCCGGCGCCGGCGGAACTGCGTGATTCAACTTAGTAAACGACTATAATACCCCAACTTATCCATAAAATAAACAAAAGGCAGTATTTAAAATATCTGTATTTTATCTACCACAGTGCATTTTATCAATCCATGCTAATTATAATATTCTAACAATAATGTCCTAAACACGTCCGCAGAATTTGCATTCACATTTTTTATTAGCATGAGTTGAATTTCTTTTTTAATTACCTCCCCTGGCAAAATTATACAAGATTTTAATTAATTAGTTTTTTTACCCTACTGTAATTTTAATTGTTATATAAACAAATCCATCCATTTTTTAACAACAAGTAGGGCCTAAATGCAATGCAAGTAAAAAGCACATGAGGTGTGTATTTTTACAGTTCTAAAATCTGTAGTGATGATGAAAGGAAGGGAGAAGGAAGGACTTGACACACTCAGCAGCGTTTATTATAAATGTCTGGGTAGGAGGTGATGATTGACTGGTGTTATTTATTATTTATGCAAGTGTTAGAAATTTTGAAAAAAAAATTGAAGCTTGTGATGCAAACATTGAAATTTTAGTTTTTATAGTGAAAACCAACAATAAAGCGGTAAATTTGGGGGCCCCTAAAAATCGGGGCCCCCTGGCTGCAGCCCTTTGAGCACCCCCCTTAATCTGCCACTGTTTGTAGATCTTGAAATCTAGATCTAGTCAAGTTGAATCTAAATTATCTAGATCTCTAACTCTAGTGACAGTCTATCTAACTATCAAGATTCTAGAAGATCTAGAATCTAGATTTATATTCAGATGGTGATCAAAATAATATAGATCTAGATCTAGAGAGGTCTAGAAAAACTATATCTAGATTCTAGGCCTTGTTCAATGTTATTTCATAAGCCCTACTCACTGATGTGCTGCATAGCCATAAGAAGAATGCATAGTCTATGTCTATATTGATTGATTTTGATAGATAGATCTATTTAATATGAGATATCTAGATTAGTCAGAAAAAAACCCAATCTAAATCTACAACTTTAAGCAGACTAAAGTCCAAAATTCCTATTATTTATTTGGTCTTGTTAAAATAGTAGTCTAGTAGCCTAATGTAATCAGTGTTTCTTCCAGACATTTATCTCTGGGGGGAGGGGGGGGTGCAAACACCGGTAAAAGTATATTTTCTCTAAAAATTCATTCAAGGCGCCCCCCCCCCCCCCCTAAAAGATGCCTGGATGAAACTCTGAATGTAATATAGGAAAAATTAGACTATTACTTTAGGCTCCTAAGTATAGACATCCAGATCTAGATTCTTAGAGTTTTGTTGTCATAATCACAGTAAACAGTATTATAAAATAATTCAGTAGACCTAACATACACACACACAGTTTGAGCCCACATGAATAATATCACTTTTACTGTTAAAGAAACCCAAACAAGCTTAGCTAGCTAGATACATCTATTAAATAATAGATCTACTATTCTCTACTAGATCTATAGACTATTACTATACTATTAATTGTACTACTATTACTAATTAAACATTACACTAAGATTTAGATGTTAGTTCAGGCATCAGTTACCCAACTTTTAAAATGAGACTAAACTAAATTTAAATAGTGTATTCTCTCAGTAGGCCTATATAGTCTATATAGATATAGATCTAGAAACTAATATAGATATATACAGTATAAAGGCTAGTATTACTGTAACTTTAAAGTATAGTAAAAAAATATCTCCCTGTACCAATGATCGTGATTAGATCTTGAATGTAACAGTATGAATAAGTTCAGCTGAAATTAATATTATAGTTATAGGGCCTAAATATTGCTTAATTAAAATTAACTAGGTGCTAGATGGAAAGTGAAAGCTATTCATGAGATTCTTAGACTAATACTTCTACATTCACCAACCTAGTTTGTTACATAATGTAGATCTGTGTTACTTTAAGGCATAGGCTAAACAAACTAACTCATTATGAGTTTAGCTATGTTTGAGTTTTTAAATTAAAATTCTAGTTAATAGTTTTAACCAAATAAAGATGAATAACATGAAAAAATGGGCTAGATCTATGAGATTGATGAATTGCTTTGGAAATGGAATATTTATTATTCAACCAATTATATTTTTAGAAAATATCTCAATATGAAACTATGGGACTCAGAGTAATCTAAAGCAGTAGGCTGTACAGCGATCTATGTAATATTGAACAGAATAGTAGATCCAGTACTGTAACTAAACTTTAAGACAGGTGAAGTAGGCCATGGTTTGCAGTCTGTCTGTTTGAACCTTGACCTTGCAAAATTTTAAAGTTGTCTTTTATTAAGAATTATTTATTCCAACAATTTTAATTAGTAGTTACAGTGTTGTTATTAGAGGTATAAAAAAATACATTATGTATTATGTGATTATTGGAAAATTTGTGATTATAGCAAGTTCAGTTTTAGACCTCAACTTGCACATCATTTACAACACATAAAACTGAGTTATTTGTAAACATGGAATTACATTGACATACAGATCTACATACAGATCTACACAGGTAGCCCAACCCCTTTAAAAACCAGATTTAAATAAATGAAATTCTGAATAATTTTATTTCATTACAATCATATTTTAATTCTAATTTATTTGACCAGCAGGGCAGGCACATTAACTGAAAAATACACCATTCCATCCTTTTGATTTTTATTTTCTGAACTTTCTTACAAAGCATTTTTTAAAACTATTACAGTAGTGTAACCAAGGGTAATGTAGCCACCTGTTCAAACTGAGACAAACAATTATCACATTTGATAATCTGTTCTGCTGATAACTCAGTCTTCCCCAGTCTAACCTTCAGACAAAATCAAAGTTGTTGATTTGTGAGGGCAGGAAATAATAATACTGTATGAGTTATTTTCACAACAATGGAGACATACATACACTCAGAGTAAATGCAAAAATTATAAAAACAAGGAGGCTAAATTCAAACTCATGCCTTACAATTCACATTTCAGTTTGGTTGAACCTTCTCTAGAGTTTTTTATTATTTCATTTTTAAATACTTCTAAATAGAACACATGCTTTTAAAAAATAATTTGGGTTTAAACATCCTCAAACCATTTTATTAAGTTATTTTCTATTTCTAATTTTACCAATTAAAAGCCAACCACATATTTATTTTATTTATACTTAAACTTCAAATGCATGGAAAAAAAATTAAGCAGCTTAAAAGAATTAGAGATCTATTTTTTTTTTGTTGTTACACATTCTGTTGTGGGTCACTATTAATTATAATCTTAATAACTCTCACAGTCCATATTGAGTTAAAATCTCTCAAGTTCATAAGTGGACTGAATATATAAACCTATTTATAATACATGTAACTAAGAAATTTCAGCCTAAAAGTCCATTAATTAGTTTAGCTATTTATTTATTTGTGTCTGGCTTGGTGATGTAATTTAGAAGTTTTGTGCATTTCATTTGTAATCATTGTGAATTTAATCTGTGAAAACATTCAGTTTGTGATTCTGGAGCGGATTAGATCCTATCTCTCTTAAAGGATAAACACTAGTTTGATTTAGCAGCCATGGCAGGCGCTAAGCCAGGAGTCCATGTGGTGCAGCTGCGCCCTATTTCTGTCCCAGAAAATTTAACCAAAGGCAACAAGTTCATCATGTTTAACGAAGTGAGTACCTTTTTGTTTCATTTTTACAGAGCTACATGTGTAACTGTCAACATTCACTGTCTGCCTTTAGCATTTACTGTCTGCCTGTAGCATTCACTGTCTGCCTGTAGCATTCACTGTCTGCCTGTAGCATTCACTGTCTGCCTGTAGCATTCACTGTCTGCCTTTAGCATTCACTGTCTGCCTGTAGCATTCACTGTCTGCCTGTAGCATTCACTGTCTGCCTGTAGCATTCACTGTCTGCCTGTAGCATTCACTGTCTGCCTGTAGCATTCACTGTCTGCCTGTAGCATTCACTGTCTGCCTGTAGCATTCACTGTCTGCCTGTAGCAATCACTGTCTGCCTGTAGCAATCACTGTCTGCCTGTAGCATTCACTGTCTGCCTTTAGCATTCACTATCTGTTTCCATTAAATTTTGTCTGATTATCCCAATCCATTTTTGTCTGATTATCCCAATCCATTTTTGTCTGATTAGCCCAATCCATTTTTTGTCTGATTATCTCACTAATTTTGTTGTTTGTGTAAATAGTATTATTACTGTATACTGTGCTCCATTATTAATACATCTGTTTATAAATGACACCATTTTATTAATATGCCATTAGGCTTCACCCTTTCATCAGCATTCAAATGGTCTCAGTACTCCTGGGTTACTGTGTGTGTAGTAAAAATAGCAGGCACATGGTTCCCCTGATAGAGCTGTGCCAGTCAATATTTCAGGTTGTGATAGCAACCAACTCAGTGCCACTAATTGCACTTTTTACATAGAAATGCTCTGTTAAACCAACAGTAGAGGGATCTATAAACTAATGGGTGTCACATGACCTATGTGTAGACCAAGCTATGCCAGGAATTCTAGTTATAACTTGATAGCAGCTTTAATGACAGGGGTGTGAAACTGGTATGTTACATTCACTTTGGTGACATATTTATACTGATGTTACCACATCAATGGTCACCAACATACTGTTACCATATGAGTATTCAAAGATTACCTACATACTGATGTTACCACATAAGTATTCAAAGATCACCTACATATTGATGTTACCATATGAGTATTAAAAGATCACCCACATACTGATGTTACCACATCAAAGGTCACCCATATACTGATGTTACCACATCAAAGGTCACCCACATACTGATGTTAGATTTAACAAATGTCACCCCACAACAAAGTGTTGATCAGTGCAATGTTAAACTACATCCTATATGAGTAAGAATGTCTTCTTCATATGTCCTAACTTAAGGCTTGGCCATCACACTAACGTTCTAATGTCCTAACTTAAGGCTTGGCCATCACGCTAACGTTCTAATGTCCTAACGTAAGGCTTGGCCATCACGCTAACGTTCAAATGTCCTAACTTAAGGCTTGGCCATCACGCTAACGTTCTAATGTCCTAACGTAAGGCTTGGCCATCACGCTAACGTTCATATGTCCTAACGTAAGGCTTGGCCATCACACTAACGTTCAAATGTCCTAACTTAAGGCTTGGCCATCACGCTAACGTTCTAATGTCCTAACGTAAGGCTTGGCCATCACGCTAACGTTCTAATGTCCTAACGTAAGGCTTGGCCATCACGCTAACGTTCTAATGTCCTAACGTAAGGCTTGGCCATCACGCTAACGTTCTAATGTCCTAACGTAAGGCTTGGCCATCACGCTAACGTTCAAATGTCCTAACTTAAGGCTTGGCCATCACGCTAACGTTCTAATGTCCTAACGTAAGGCTTGGCCATCACGCTAACGTTCAAATGTCCTAACTTAAGGCTTGGCCATCACACTAACGTTCAAATGTCCTAACTTAAGGCTTGGCCATCACACTAACGTTCTAATGTCCTAACGTAAGGCTTGGCCATCACACTAACGTTCAATTGTCCTAACTTAAGGCTTGGCCATCACACTAACGTTCAAATGTCCTAACTTAAGGCTTGGCCATCACGCTAACGTTCAATTGTCCTAACTTAAGGCTTGGCCATCACACTAACGTTCAAATGTCCTAACTTAAGGCTTGGCCATCACACTAACGTTCAATTGTCCTAACTTAAGGCTTGGCCATCACACTAACGTTCAATTGTCCTAACTTAAGGCTTGGCCATCACACTAACGTTCAATTGTCCTAACTTAAGGCTTGGCCATCACGCTAACGTTCAAATGTCCTAACGTAAGGCTTGGCCATCACGCTAACGTTCAATTGTCCTAACTTAAGGCTTGGCCATCACACTAACGTTCAATTGTCCTAACTTAAGGCTTGGCCATCACACTAACGTTCAATTGTCCTAACTTAAGGCTTGGCCATCACAGGCGATCAAACAAACGAGAAGCAGGCCAATTACACTTAAACACTTTCAGTCACCATTTTAGTCGTGTTAGATAACTATTAATTCATTAAATTCCAAACAAAAGTTGTTATGATGTTTTTGTGTACAGTTTCATGATATGTAACCAGCGTTTTTCGTTTAGGGGTTTGTAATGTTAACCTAAATCTATAACGATTGAAGGCTATCTTTATGATTGAATGATGGAACGCTACGGCTGTACGATTGTTAGATGCAACATTTTAGCAGTGGCCAATGCATCAAGTGTGTACTTGACGTGACCACTTGACTCTCACGACGGACAGAAACAATGCACTTGTACGTCTATCTTGTTCTAGTGCAACCCACAGGTTGAACCCACCACACTCTCATCAAATTACCTTCATCTTTTTTTCCATGTCATCAACTGATTCACGGCAGATTACTTTCTTTTAAGATCAGTCTGCTTTTACTAGTCTATATAGAGCTAGGTATATACTAACTTACCCATCGCACACCGATGTCACCTAAGAAGAAATGAATTTGATGCGTGTTCCTCTACAAAATAATACATCACCGTAACTTTTTCAAAGTAGTTTACTGAGGCCGGTGTTAGATCTCACTTTTGTGTGTTGCCGTTAAAAGGTTTTATTCTTTCAGGGATTCCTAGATACCAAAAGTTATAATTTTCTGTTGATTAGTACTCGAGTTATTGAATTGTAACCAATGTCTGCACTAAATGTGTTCAATCTTGGTTGTTGGCGCGCCTCAGGGTGACTGTATGAAAATATTGAGTGTACGTTCATCACACTCTGCAAAGGTGAGATAGAACACCCATCAGTCAGAGGCGCCGTCTGTATCTTTAAGTAACTGATTGTAGTATCCTTAGTGTAGGGCTCTCGTTAACACGAATGTAGGTGCAATAGTGCTCAATTGGGAGCTCAGGGCGCTCCGGATAAAGACCGCGAACATCGTTTATGTGTGGCTAACATCAGCTTTGTGTGCCCAACACTATTGTACTAATTTGTGTGGCCAACACCAGTTTTGTGTGGCCAACACCAGTTTTGTGTGGCCAACACCAGTTTTGTGTGGCCAACACCAGTTTTGTAGTTATGTGTGGCCAACACCAGTTTTGTGTGGCCAACACCAGTTTTGTGTGGCCAACACCAGTTTTGTGTGGCCAACACCAGTTTTGTGTGGCCAACACCAGTTTTGTGTGGCCAACACCAGTTTTGTGTGGCCAACACCAGTTTTGTGTGGCCAACACCAGTTTTGTAGTTTTGTGTGGCCAACACCAGTTTTGTGTGGCCGACACCAGTTTTGTGTGGCCGACACCAGTTTTGTGTGGCCGACACCAGTTTTGTGTGGCCGACACCAGTTTTGTGTGGCCGACACCAGTTTTGTGTGGCCGAGGCCAGTTTTGTGTGGCCGAGACCAGTTTTGTGTGGCCGAGACCAGTTTTGTGTGGCCGAGACCAGTTTTGTGTGGCCGAGACCAGTTTTGTGTGGCCGAGACCAGTTTTGTGTGGCCAACACCAGTTTTGTGTGGCCAACACCAGTTTTGTGTGGCCGAGGCCAGTTTTGTGTCGCTTACCTACGTCATGTCACCTGTCGGCCAAATTGATCGCGGAGACCATTGATTCCAGGTCGTCGGATGTGTATTGGAATGTCTTCACGTAAATCGATATGCTCCTTTTATGTGTGTCATATGTCCTTTTTATGTTTTTGTGAAACGATATCTTCCACATGTGTATCGATATGTCCTTTACATGTGTATCCACGTGTTCTTCACAAATGTATGGAAATGTCGCGTGTAGCGACATTTCCATTTCGTGATCTATATGAACCAGAAATCTCATTTCGCCATATTCCCATATTTATAGCCAAGATTAAAGCAGTGTTCTTGGACTGATTTTTACCTATCGTATGACCACAGCCATTGACCGACCGTCTTTGTAAGGACTGACCTCTGTGTCAGCACAAGCTTGTTGACAGCGGCTGGTAGTCCCGCTTGATTGGGCGATTGAATTCTTCATTGAATTCTTTAAATTAGAAGCATTACTTAGCACATTGCTAGGAAGGGCGGGAGGGGGCATAGAGCCTTTTGAAGTTAGATTTTATTGAGTGATGGTTAGTTATTATGTTGAATGTATTCACGTTGGAACTCTGTTTTCTGTACTGATTCTTAGGTACAGAAATGTACAGAATGAAGGCTGTTTTGATATCGGTAGAAACTCTTCCTCAAACATCCATCTTTTCTACATACAGAAGCTCTAAAGCACGATTCACGTGTCCATACACAAACTGATTGGGTTACATCTTCATACAAAAACTCTTACTAAAATAGGCTTCGCATCATGCTGACAAACGTCATGCAAGCAGACGTCACTATGTCGTGATGACAGCGATTGTGAGAGTTAAGGCCCTTCACATTGTCTGCAAGCCGATTACGTTAGCGGGGGAAAAAATCAATGAATGATTGAATAAATAACTTAGATTTTTTTTTAAACGCTAAAAAAGTGTGAGCAGGGACCTGGGATGAAATGGGCTCTTTACACAGGCGCAATGAAGACTACAAAGCTGGTGGGACCGTGGCTGTAAAAGTGTATTACGCTCACTTTACTAAGTCCGAGTTCCCACTACTACTGCGGGTCTGACCACGACCCCCTCCCATTGCGACAAAGGGGTTTGTTTTTATC